GGAGCCACAATTCCTCAGCTAAGATAATAGGCAGCTTTGCCCCAAATCCCCATTCTAGTGCAGTGGCAAAGTGGAGACTGCAGTTAGAAACAGCAAAACAATAGATGGGGAAAGGAGGGAGGAAAAGGGAGGGAGTGTATGGCAATTAGTAGAAATGAGTGGTTATGGAGTGTAGAGAATTGACAAGGAAAGCCAAAGACATTGGGGGAAAATCAATTCTGACAAGCTTAACGCAGTAAGGAGTGCTTTAAAAAATGTGCTAGCAAGAGGTGGAATCCAGGAACTGTCATTTCCAAATGGAGATTGCAGAATGGTTAATTACGTAGGAAAAATGCAAACACATTCAACAAATAGTTCTGGTAATTTGGACTGAGACATAACAACGTAGGATGCAGTACCTGCCAGTATGCTGAGAACCAGGTTTGTTCAACATTAAACATAGGTCCTTGGAAGAGTGATATTTGAAATAATCAAGTCAATATGTGCCAAAGAGTCTTGAAAGGTCTAGAGCAGGAGCTGTCTGATCTGGGCGTGTTAATGGAGGTAGGGACCACAGGATGGGCCAGGAGGAGTGGGAGCCAGCTGAAATAGTGATGGGGGGCTGTGTGCAGTGTACACTGTCCTCACCAGCCTCAGGGAACAACTGGATTAATAGCTAAGGCAGGAAACTCAGTGATGGAAATAGCATTGACGTCAGTCAACGCAGTTTGAGGGGAAGGGATACTGGGCAGTGGCTTTACGTGACAGGTTCAGCTCTTAAACCTTTCCTTAGGCATCTGCTCCTGGCCACAGTGAGGAACAGGATCTGCTCTAGGCATACCTGTGGGTCTGAAGCAGCAGATCTGGTTTAATGCTGGTGGGAGATTACTGCGTGCAGCTCATCAACTTGGAGCTAGATGAAGATGCTGAGTTGATAATGCATTATGTTATTATTATTATTACTTTGCATTAACACTCCTCATTAGAAGCAAAGCATTGTTAGCTAGATGAAGATCTGGTTTATCAACAGCTTAGTGAAGAAAAGCAGTTGTTGGTTGGGAGTCCTCATGGAGCGAGGTGCTCCTGGAGGAGCTCTACGGCAGCAGCACTGTGCCCGCTGCCATTCAACGCTGTAATCAACGATCTGGAAGTAAATATAAAATCACCACTGATAAAATTTGCAGCTGACATGGAGATTGGTGGAGTGGAGATCATGATGAGGATAGAGCAGTCATGCAGAGCAATCCAGATTGCTTGGTAAACTGGGCCTATTTAAACAAAGTGCATTTTAACACAGCCAAATGCAAAGCTTGGATGTTGTGAAATAGGGAATGCTGGTTTATATCCTGGAAAGCACTGACTTTAAAATGGATTTAAGGGTCACACTGCATGAGTAGCTCAGTGTGAGCACTCGCAGTGCTCCCACCAAAGGGTTATTACAGTCCTAGGATTCAAAACCCTGAGAGGAAGGAGGAGAGGCAAGGCTCTGCAGGCAGCCCTGGTGAGATGGCACCAGCAGTTCTGCAGGGATCGCCACTGAGGAGGAATGGGGAAGAAGTGGGGCAAGTAAAGATGAGGGCCACAATGCTGATTTGCTGGCTTGCAGATGGAGACATAAGGAACTGGGTTGTTTAACTTCTCCAAAAGAAGATTGAGGCGTGCCTTGATCGCACTGTACAAGCAACTTCTTGTGTAGGAAATGCTGCGTGCTGAAAGGCTCTTTAACCTCACAGGGAAAGGTCAATCAAAACCCAATTGCTGTAAGTCAGTGCCAGGCAAATTGATTCAGTGTCTTTCTGTGACTCCAAAGCAAGGCTCTCTGGCTAGAGAGCTTCAGCCAGGCACAAGCTACCAGGGCTGTGCAGAGTACAGGGAGGGCAATAACCCCCATCAATGCTGTGCAGGGTTGGAGGGGAGCGGGGTTGAGTGTGGATTGCCTTTGCCATGCAGTGAGAAGAGCCCGTTTGAGGGCTGCCAGGCAGGATCTGACATTTAAAGGAGGTGTTTTTTAGGTATGCTATTTGGAAGGGGACCCCTCAGGGGAGGGATAGTAACTGTCACAGGCTGGGTTTCTGAGGCTGTTTGTTTGTGTTATTGCAGGCACCCCAAGGAGTCCTGGCTGCTTGTCTGGGGTTTTACAAGCACAGAGAGAAAGCAAAAGCATTGAGATGTGTAGATGTGGCATTTATAGGGACATGGTTTAGTGGTGGACTTGGCAGGGTTGGGGTTGCAGTTGGACTTGATGATCTTAAAGGTCTTTTCCAACCTAAATGATTCTGTGATTTGATAAGCCCCAGTGATGGAGGAAAGCAGTCTCAGCCAGGCAGTCAGCGTGCAGGAAGAAGCAGTGTGACAGCATTGCCTGGCATGGTGACATTGAGGAAGAAATCCTTTACAATGAGGGTGGTAAACCACAGGTTTCCAGGTGGATGCCCCACCCCTGGAGACATTCAAGACGAGGCTGGATGTCCTTCTGGGCAACCTGATCTAGTTGAAGATGTCCCTGCTCATTGCAGAAGGGTTAGAATTAGATGGGCTTTCAAGGTGCCTTCCAACCCAAACTATTCTATGATTCTGTGTTGGGTAGTGAGGTCTGTGCATTGAAGGCTTTTGCAAGGCTTTCCACAGCTGCAGAGCCTACAGAGGAAGGATGTCCTCAGGAGGGTCATCTGCATGCAGATCTGCAGTGGGCAGGACTGCCCTGACCTGATGTCCTCCAGAGCTGTACACACAGACCTCCTGGGAGGTGCTTGCCTATCCCTTTGTGAAGATAGCATTTCTGCTTTGACAACCTATTGGCAATCTAAGCTAAACCTACCACTGTATTTTCTTCTTTAGCAGCTAACCTTAGTCTTTGCTGCTGCAAGTGAAGGCCATTCCTTCCTGTCTGCCCGTGGCCAAAAGCAGCAGCTTTCTCTTTGCAGAAGGCTTTTATGATTATGAGCTTCAAGAGTGCTGTGTCTTTGCCACCCTTAGCTCTCTCCTCCCCAGACCATGTTCCTCAGTCTTGTTACTATTACTTGTTTCTATTCCCCTGGTGCACATGTTCTCAAAAGCAGTGCCCAGCCTGGACACAGCTGTACCTCTGCAGCCCTGCTTGAGCCCTGCAGAGCAGACACATCCCTGCGTGACTCCAAGACAAAAGATCCTGTTTGCACATCCCAATGTAGATGCATTTGTTGGTGTGAGATTGACACGTTGACGGATCATCAACCCAGGATCTGTGGTAACCCCCAGTTCCTCAGCCAGCCCGCTGCTTGTACGGTGTGCAGATGTGACAGATCTATTCCACATCTGCCAGCCAAGCAGTTAATGAAAGTATGGGCTGGAGGGACTCAGGGCACAACCCGAAGAGTTTCATTTGATGCATCGTCCCAGCTGAAAGGCCTGTCTGCAGTAATTACTTTCTGACTCCAACTTTCTGAATGCCTCCCATCCACCCTGCAGTGAATTGTACTATATTACCCAAGCACAGAAGTACTATGCTGCACCTACACTTGTTTTCCCTGCATTACTTAGGAGAACATCGTCTAAAACAGTGTCAAAAAACTTCCTAAAGTCAAGACATAACATTTACTGCTCCTCCATCCATGAGGCCTGATGTCTTTTCAAAGGGAGAAGTTCAATGGCTTGACATGTTTGTTTGTGACAAACCTACAGTGGCTGTTACTCATTTTCTTGTTATCTTGTAGGTACTTACAAAGAGTTCTTTTATCTGTTTCAGTATTTTTCCAGGAACTGAAATTAAGCTAACTGCTTTGTAATTCTCCAGCTCTTCTTTTTTCTCCTCTTTAAAGACAGGTGCTATTTTAGATCACTTCCAGGCTTCTGGAAGCTCCCTGATTCTCTACAAATTCTTTTTAAAAAGTATAAAAGGCAAAAAAAAAAAAAAAAAAAAGCCAAAAAAAGCCGTAACACCTCTGAAGTGACTTAAATCAGGTCTCTAAGCATCTGGGGTGAATTTAATCAGGTCCAACCAACCTAAAAAGCAGCTAGCTCATCTAAATGCTCCATGTGTGTTCCTTCCCTCCGTTAGGCTCAATTCCTTTCCTTTCCTTGTTGGTGGTACCTGTGTGGGATGCCTGATTGCCACTCAGTTGTAGTAAAGACATCAGCCTAATTGGTGTGTTGGTTCCTGTCTATCCTGATCGCCTTCAGATCCCCATCAAATCACTCCTTTCTTGGGCTCTCTCCTGTGTTTATGGGCGATTTTGTGTCTTTTCTCTCTCTCTTAGTGTTTGTTTTTCATTCTCTGCACGCCTCATCCTGCTCTTGCCCTATGAACTCGTGCTACCCCTTCCACTCCTCAGTAATCACCACAAAGAAGGATTTTATGGAAGGGTTTGGAGGAGGATAATGGTGTAGCTTACTGGCTGCTTGCAGGGAGCTCCTCCCAAGCATGAGGCAACGCTTGGGAGAGAAAGTGTAAAGCAGGGTCATTGAAATGTTTAACAAGCAGACAAAAGAAGTGGTGATGACCCTTGATGGAGAATCTCTTGGGATGAGAGATAGTGTCAGGTCAGAGGCTGGAAGGTGCAGGATGGCACCACCGTGGCTCTGTGCTGGGCAATGATCCCATCAGAGAGGCTTTTAGGTGGGCTCAGCGGGTGGGTCTCTGAGGGCCCCTGGGGTGCATGTAGTCTGGAGACCCCAGAGGAAGGGTAGGGTGGGTGCTAATGATTCAGGATGCTGTGCTAATGGGGCACCTTACAGGAGCTTATCCATGGTGGGATAGGGCATCTGCCCAGGATTGTCTCTAGGTGGAAGAGGAGGCTGGAGCAGGAGCTGCTGGATCAGGGGAGTGCAGGGACCGTGCAAGGTGTGCTCCCTACATGGGCTGGCGTCTGATGGGGTGCTCCTGCCTGGGGTGGAGCCCCACGCATGTGGCTGTGTGGGGCTGGTGATGGACCCTGCTGGTGTTGGGAGCACTGGACAGGAGCACTCTGCCTCATCGAACCTGGCCCTCCTCTTTGCCTTCATCTGCTGGATGGGTGATACAACAGCTTTTCTTTCTCTCCCAGTTACCTCATCGCCGAGTGACGTTCTCTGCAGCCAGCCAGGCTCAGGACCTGCAGGATCCCTCCCAGCACAGCTACTACGACAGCGGGCTGGAGGAGTCAGAGACCCCGAGCAGCAAATCATCGTCAGGGCCCCGCATTGGGCCGCTGGCCTTGCCTGAGGACCACTACGAGCGCACCACGCCCGATGGCAGCATCGGGGAGATGGAGCACCCCGAGAATGGTATGTGCTTGCCGCACGCGTGCCTGCCCCATCCCAGGGACCCTGCGCCAGGGCTCTCCATCCCCAGTGCTGCACCTCCCCTGGTGCGGGTGGGATGGGGCGAGGAGCTCGGATGGGACAGGCTTGCCATGTGGGACTGGGAGACTGGAGAAGAGGTGAGGCTCAAAACAAGAGAGCAGCAAGGACAGGGTGAGGAGAGGAGAGGCGGGTGAGGGAGAGGAGGCCTGGGGGGGGCAAGGAGATGTGGGAGTGGGAAGATGAGGAGGAAGGTGGGTTTGGCAAGAGGCAGAGGGGTTTGGAATGGTGTAGACAGGGGGCCCAATAGGATGGTCCGAGGTGGCAGCACAAGAAGCATGTGGAGGGGGTTGTAGCCCAGCTGATGGTGAGCTTGTGTGCCACAGTCAGATGGTCCCATGGGTGCCCCCATGGCAGGGCAGGGGTGGTCGGGGTGTGATGCAGCTCTCCGTGCTGTGGTGGGTGCTAGAGCTGTGGAGTTTCCTGGGGAACAGAGTGGGACATCTTAGTGGCACAGGCTGGGGTGAGGAGTTACATGGAGCGGAGGATCAGGGAGTGTGGTGGTGGCAAACCTGAGAGCAGTGTCCTGACTTCATTGGGACCTCCTGCTCGGCGCCACCTTCACCTGAGGACCCCACCAGGGGTGTCTGCAGCCTCACCGTGGGAGAGCTGGCTTCCCCCTGCCCTGGCACAGCTTCAACCCCAGTTCTGCTCCTCGTGCTGCCTCTGTGCTGCCTGCCTGACTACCCCCAATGAGCCCACTCCCCAAGCTATCTTCTCTGGCCAGCTTAAGTTGCTTCCTTGGATTTGGCTCTGGCTGTGCACATAACATCTACTTTCCTTTACCTGCTGCCTTCTGTGCTCTTGTACCAAGGGGAGGTTGCAGTGGGGCTGGCAAGTTCAGAGAAACCTCTGATAGGGAAAAAGAGGACATGCAGAGTGTTCTCCTGAAGTTTCCTCCTACTTCTGGGAGCATCCTTGACTTTGGGACAGATCTGTATGTGGTGTGAAAAGGACTGAGAGTGTGTCTGGGGAGCTGAAAACCTGCTGGGTCTCCCTGTCAAGGAATACATGGGGCCTAGGGTAATCTGTTGTCTTGAAGGTCTAGCGGAATGTCTCTTCCTTCTTCCAGGTTAGTTCCTGGAGTAACACTGGAGTTTGCTATGCTACAACCATTGAAGCAAGGCATGGTGGTGCCAGGTCTGGCAGGGTTCTCAAATCCGTATTGCTCTTGCAATATGAAGCATCCTCCTGTCTAGGAGTGTCGTGCACATCACTTTCTTCCCAAAAGTACCAGCCAGTCAACTGGGAAGAGCAGTATGAAGAGGTTCCTGGAGTCCTGGCACAGGACAACAGTAATGGACTTCCCAAGTGCCCTAGAGTACCAGCACGTACCTGCAAGGGGGGCTTGAAGGGCATGTGGGCAAGGAGATGCCACATGGCTGTGCTGAAGGATATAGAGGGGCAGTGGTGACAATGGACCTGGAAGAGGAAAGTTTGAGCCCCTAAAGGTGACAGGCAACTCAGAGATGACGAGGGAGGAGCAGGGCTAAAAGTAGAAAGAGGAGAAGCCAGGGTGGACGGGGTTTGGAGCAACCTGCTCTAGTGGAAGGTGTCCCTGCCCATGGCAGTGGTTGGAACTGGATGAGCTTTCTCCCTTCAACCCAAACCATTCCCTGATTCTATGAGAGAGAACAGGACCTGGAAGATCTGTGGCAGGAGATGGAGGGCAGAGAGGGCTGCCCGTAGTGCTTAGAATGTTCACTGTCTGCCCATTGGAGATGAGCAGACCCAAGGAAAGCTGGGGGACACTGCCTGGAGCAGGGGCTCTTGGCAATGGAGAACCCAGGCATGGTTTCCTGCCCACAGCATCACAAAACCCAACCTGCCCTATAAATTAGGCAGCTCCCTCTATTTGCACATGACATCCTGTGTATGTTCACACCCAGGAGGACAGAAAACACCACACACCCATCCACGAATAAATCCACATGTGATACAGTGTGTGCAGGGGCTCCCAGGGGATGACTGTAACCCCGTCCTGCTCTCCATCCCCCAGCCTGTCCTGGCTCAGCTCCCTTCACATGGCAGTGTTAGGAAGTCAGGCTCCAGTGCCTCCAGCAGCCATTCTGACCTGTATAAACCAGGATCAGTGCAGAGGCCATAGCAGGCCAAGGCTCTGGGGAATCCACCAGCATTAACCCTAGTTGGTCCTGGTGCCCTGCAGATAATCTGGCAAAGGCAGTTCAACGAACCTTAAGGGCTGGGGTCAGCATCGTGATCCATTAAGTAGGCACCAGGCCAGGTGATTTGGAGATTAGGAGGTACTGGTCATGTTAGATCTGTTCATCAGAGTAGGTTTCTCCTGGGCTGCCTGCCCGAGATGTGGAACATCAGACATCTCCCTGGTGCAAAGAAGACATCTCCCCCTTGTTTGTCCAGAGAAGGGTCATGTGTTGCTTCCTGCAAAGAGTCCCCAGTGATATGGGACCATCATGACCTTTTAGGGGACTGTCTCACCATGCCCTTGTCTGGGCTTCTGAAGCAGCACCAGCCCCTCAAAGAGATCAGATAGTGGGTTTTGTGAATCTGGGAAGACTAAACCATCTTTGACCTTATATTAAACTGAAGAGATGTGTTGGATCCCACACACCCAATCTCGCGGCACGAGCGCAAGACTGACACGACTGTGCATTTTCTAGGCTTTCATCTAGTTATAAATATCCAACATAACAGGGCTTCCATTGCTTTCTCCCTGAGATTATCCCTGCAGCCGAACCAATCTGATAAGCAAGTATGCAAGGCTATTTATAGCTCTTCAACTGGAAGACAGATCCATGCCTTTTCTTTGTAGATGGTTCTTCACTTGATTAACACACATATCAGTGTCCTCCTTTTTTGGACACTTTTGACTGTGCAGACTGCAGTAAAACGCTGTATTGCAGGGGCTGAGCCAGGTCCTTTTCAGGAGGAATTATGATGTTTCTGATGAAGACTTCTCCAGTATCTTGGCACTGATGTGCCAGCTCCTCACTCGTCCCAGGCATTTGTCATCCCTGGTATTTTACCTAGCTGCCCACTGTTTCCTCCCCAACATTTTGCCGTGCTGTTACCCGCTTCTGTGGGGTACACTGAGCTGGGAACTGAGCTTAGTCTCCCACTTGGCCACCCTTTGCTTTCGCTAAAGACATCTGCTCCCCCTGTATCACAGATTTGCTTTAGTTGGAAGGAGCCTGGGAGTGATTCTGCTCTGCAGAGGATCTGCCCTGCCATAATGCATGCAGAGCTTGGATGATGAAAGTGCCAGTCTCCCTCCACTGACGATGGAGAGAATTTAGGAAGATTACAGGGCCAAATATGTGCAATTTAGGAACCATTACATCAAGGCTGTTTCACTCTGTCCCTGTGTGGTACAGAGGTACCTGATGATGTATCGCATGAAATATTTCTGAATTCAGCCCACAGAACAGGGCCAAATGTTTAAACTGCTTTATCTCCATTATTTAAAGTGGGCACCCCATGCCATTTTTAATGCATGCCATCACAATCCTGCACTGAATATGTAATTAACAATCATCTCCTGAGCTTTCACGATGCACTTAGTGCAGTAGTATCTGTACTTCACAGATGTTAATGAGTTTATCCTCGCAGCTCCCCTTCCAGGGAAGAGATTCCACCCTAGGTGGGGAATGAAACAGAAAATCATAATCTACATTTCTAAGCTGTCTGCTAGCATTGGGTGACCCCCGGATGAGGGCCTGCAGCATCCCCGTGCTCCCGAGCCATGAGGCAGGTCTCCAACTGCTCTAGATGGCAAAGCCAAGGCTGCATCAGCTGCCTCTGGCATACGAGGCATGAGCAGTATGGCTTTGGGACTCTGTGGCAGAGCTAGATGTAAAACCCTCTCGCCTGGTTCATAGCCATAGGCTTTTCTGTCAAGACCAGTCTTTTTCTGATGGTTTCCTACCTCCTTTGTACACCTCAGCACAGCTTGAGCAAAGGTATTGAGATACCATTGCCAGGGTTTGACTGCTGGACTTCATTAAACCCTCTCAGTCCAGATTGTTGTTTGTTTCAAGAAAGATTGGTAGATTGATGTAAAGCCAGAAGGAGCAGCTTGTCTAACCCCTGTGTGACACAAGCCATAATATTCCATCCTGTGATTTCTTCATCTCACCATGGCTGAGTGGGAGCACTTTTTTGGGAAGGTCCCATTTTGATGGCAAATGGTGGCAAGTGATCCTTTCCAGTGGCACTTCCTCTCTGCCCCCAGTTTCAGAAGCCTACACATGAATTCTGCTTAAGCTGCTCTAGCTCCCATTTTATTCTATTGAATCCTACAACATTAGGAGACACCTCACTTGATGCGTACTTGCAGATCACATGTGAGCAAGTCAACATTTAAAGTTCTCTTTGATACGCTCAAAAACTGAGTCAAGTCCCTTACTGTGAGCAGAGCCAAGGCAAGATATTTTGGCAGCTGATCTCTCTTCCTTCCCTCCCACCTTTTCCTGCACTCCTCCCAGCCATTGCCATCTGCTCATGACGCCACCACAGACCTGCAGCCCCATTCCTGGGCAGCAGCAACATCTGGCACGTCTTGGATGTGTGTCCTGCTTTTTGGCAACCCTTGCAAAGGCAGCCTGGGGAGATATTTTCCTCCTGCTCCCCTTTGCTACGCTTCTGATTATAGTTCAAATCTTCCCTTCCTTCATATCGTTTTTTCACTGCGTGATGGCCAATTTGCCAACAACCTTTCAGCGGTGCGGATGTGTCCAGATGATAGCCCACAGCTCTCAGCAGCACTCAGTGGCATCCGTAGCAGCACCAGGCACAGAGATAATGTGACTGCTAGTGCTCATTTCGTAGCCTCACAACAGGCATGTGTGTCCATCACATGCAAACAGAGCTGCTGCTGCCTAGCACGGCACTGTGTGCGCCCCCTGCAATATCACAGCACCTTGAGAAGGTGGGTGGCTCAGAAG